TGCAAGTATACACCAAAAAAACTGCATGTGTGGTTTTAACTCAGGTGCTGCAGTGGCTGGAGCAGTATTTACAAGGTATGGTGAGATAGTGAGATATGAACCAGGGAGTCCAGTTGATGGAACAGATGGCATGGTGGTACAGTGGTTAGCACCGTCCTCTCACAGGAGAAAGGTTCTTTCTGTATGGGTTTTCTCTGCATACTCATGCTTCCTACCTTCTTCTTCTACTTTCCTTTCTGATTCGGGGTTAGGTTAGTTGGGGACTCTAAATCACCATAGGTGTGAGTGTTATCTTTCCAAATCTCTCGCTTTAAAGGGGCCACAAGTTACACAGAGGGGCCAATTACATGTCCAAAATCCATGCACAATTCCTGATTCATTCATCCACCCTGTTACATTTGCTACTTAGCAACAAACAAAAGCAGAGCTGCGGTTGATGAGCCTCTGAGCCTATCATTAGTTTTGCAGATATTTGGTCATAAACTAAATTGAAAATTTGACCTTTTAATGTCACAATAGATGAAAGGTTTAAAGTTCCATAAAGTTATTACAGGGTTGTCCTGAGAGGGATGTGATACTGCATTTCATGGTCCATCCAACATTTCTTGAGACATTAGACTCGGAACCATGAATGCCAATCTCATGGTGGTGCTGTAGAAAAGGTCAGGTTATCAGCAACTTCATTAGGATTCATTACCTGGGAACCATGAAGGTGTGTTCCACATTTTGTGCCAATGCATCTCGCAGATGTAGAGATAAAGTAATATAAGTGATTGTCTTTAATCTACAGGTGGCACTTGAAGAAAAGTCAGCAGATCAGTTATTGGGATTCAACCTCTCGGGCTCACGAATGTCTGAATGCTAGTGTGGGTAAAAACGTTGCAGTAGCCATTAACTGTACATGTAATAGAAATAGCAATGCTTATGTCTCAAACCCTACTTTTTTGGTCTTGGAGTTACACTTCAGGATCAACTCCCTTGTGATCAGGAGCTGGTGTTAGCTTTTCCCTCCCTGTGAAAGTGTGAACGCTGGCCCTGAACCTGTGTGAGGTCTGATAGTGATAGATGAATTGGGTACATAGACAGAGCCCTCGGTGCAGCTGAGATAAGGAGCCCTGAGGAACAAGCAGCCATTGCGAGGCCTGTCTGTCATTGATATCGCTTCTATCCACTGCCTGTCCAGTGTACATAAATGCTTTCAAGAGGCAGGCGAAGAGGCAGAGATTACCTTGATGACACAGGAAGCCATGCTTAACTTGGCACCACGTCATGTTAAAACCTCCGATGACCAGATTTGGTTTTGATGTTTTGTAAAATTTCTTGTCAAGCCATAGAATCCTGTGAAACCTTTGAAATTTGAACTCCATTGCCAACAATGGTCATACTGTACATATCTCTTTCTCGTGGTTATCATTTATATATAATGTTCTACATTTTGTATTTCTATATTTATGCTAATCACGTAAATCCCCTGTGCGTGTTTACCTACTTAGCAATAAAACTTTATTCAGATTCTTCATAACTAGCAGTGACATAGTACTCTTCACGTTTCTGTTTTGCACCCGTTATAACGTATTTTTAAACATTTCTAAAATGAACTCAAGTATCATTAAAGGGGGAATACTGTTTTCTGTTAACAAAACAGTATTTCTGTATTTAAATAAAGCCCAAGCAGTTCCAGTTTTGACAAAAAAGTGTTTCTTCTTGGCTGAAGCTTCCCTCATTCACCAATTCTCCACATGGATTAGAAAAGCAAATATCCCTCTTTAGAAATTGGCTTCCAAACAGCCATACAAGAACATTTAAACTACACAGAATATCTCAGCAGAGCGTCCAAGGATGTTTAATTAATTCTGATGTTATGTAAAGAAAACATATTGATTTGTATCAATAGAAATATTAGCAATTAAATCAAAGAAAAAACAATCCCTTTGTCAAAAATCTGAAAATGTGGGATATAAAGAAAGAAATTATTTTACCAGATATTACAATGCACCATTTGAGAGTTCTGAGGGGTGTATAGCTTATATAAAAGCAGAACGTATTATCCAATCAGAATAAATGTATTATCTGTCCCAAGACAGTCGCATATAATGAACTCAATTTTCAAGAGACATAAGCAAATGGTAAATCTGCATGCACTGTGCATTCCATTTTTTTGGTTTACCGCCTGAAGTTATAACTTTATTTCCTGCACTAACAGCTGGATTCAGAGGAATTTTAGAGATGTAAAAAATGCTGACTGATGGCTCACTGGCCCCTCACCAAAAGCAGTTCATAAAACCCACAGGCGGCTGCAAACAAACCTGAGCGGCGTTTGGCTTGTGTCGCCGAGCTCCTCGTCTCCTCTCCATCTCACCCAGCTGAGGTGTTTTACCGTTATCCTCCGCAATGAAACCCAACGATGTGAAACGGGGGAGAGGGAGGGCGGGGAAGTCTCTGCGGTGGTTTATGGTGGCTCAGGACTTTCATCTGTCAAGACACAATTGATTGTTATTAACAGCAGGGCCGGAAAATGAATTCTTGCCGGGAAAAAAGAATACATTTCCCTCCACAAAAGCTGCCTTAATTGTGCAATGGAGGAAGAATTACACTACCACTCACAAAATCTGCAGCGTCAACCAACCCCCCCAAAAAAGTCAGGGATATTTGATTTCAGAGCCAAAGCATTGTCCTGGAAGTATTTCATATGTTTGTATATATATCGATCCTATTGCATTAGTCCCTCAAGATATTTTCTTTTTAGTAGCATCTGCAGTTACCAGAAGAGCGCCTGACGCCAGAGGGGGTCTTTGTTTCTTATTGCAAAGAGACAATATGAAATAAAACCAGTGTTTTAATGTAAAGTCACTGGGTTTACGCAATATAAAGACACTATGAGCCAGTGGTGGACAATGTGGCCGAATTTCCAATAAAACGAGGGTTTACTGAAGAGGAAAATTATCATTTGTATAAGTGTGTCTGTTGTGAAATTGAGTCCTGGATGTTGAGACGATGTTTACTGACGTTTACTCTGTGTGTGAAGGGAGCTTAGGATACACCTCGGGATTAAATGCAAGGGTTTTGACCTCAATCAGGAAAATAATTACTGTTGCTCCTCCTGTTGGTGGACTCAATAATTAGCAGGCAAAGCCCCGACAGAAAACACAATTAGTCTGAAAACAGAGGTGATTGAAACTATAATTCTTATTTGACTCATTAAGATCTTTTGTGTCTGGCTCTAAAGCTTTATTGAATTTGTCGGGAAGTTCACCGTGGCTCGTTTTGTGCGATTCCCAAGAAATATTTACTAATAAATTCTCCAGCCAGGAAGCCTTTCACATGTCTGCACCCAGATATCTGTCAAAGCAAGTGGGGGGGGGGGGGAGATAATTGAATAGAGGACATCTTGCTTCAAGATAAAAACAAGTCAGGTGTGACTGACTCCATCTTCCTCAAGTAATGAAACGTATTCATGATTGGCACCGCTGATAAAAGCTATGGATCACAAAAGCACACAAACATCACACAAACACCACACAAACACACACGTACCCTTCAAAGCTCTTTTCTTTCACAGTGTGATTCAATGCAATGAATCACCATGTTTCCTATTATATTCTCTCAGAAGAACAAACGCACACACAGCTTTTATCTGTCATCACCACTGTAACCACTCCTCCGCCAAAAAACAGTCGATATGATACCGATGCAGCACCCACTCATTGTATGTGTGTCTGTGTGTGTGTGTGTGTGGGTGTACTCGTTTTGTTCACACTGTTATTAAACTGGACTGCATACAATGATGGAAGTTTGGTGTTTTTCCCCTTGAAAGACTCCGGACCAGGGATTCAGATTAGTATCTTAAGTGAGACAATCTCTGGACTTCTGTCAAATCCACAGTGAAAAATGAGGAATCTACCAACATATGCAAACATACTTAAGACAAGATTCGAATATTTCTTCCTGTCTCTGAGCAGGTTAATCTATGGCATAGCCAACTGTGTCTAACTGGCATTTTATTTAAGCATTCAACTACTAATTCTACAAATCTCTTTCTGTCTGTTTAAATATATATGTGAAACGCATATCTCAGGGACTGATCATCTTATCAGCCTACACTTGTGCAGTGCCTAATTTGGTGCGATTTAGACAGGTGGTACATCGGATATTAATGGAAATTGAATTAACAGGCAACCAGCACTCTGAAGAGATCAGTAGGGGCGGGGCAGTGTGCCTTCAGTCAGTGGTTGAATCTTCATCTACGTCCTTGGATAAACTACATCAGATTACAGAGCTTTTATTTCGAAAAGTTGTAAGCATGGGTCTGAAGATTGTGTCCATCCCTTAAAGGGATAATTCTTTCAAAAATGTAAATTCACCCATTATCTACTCACCACTGTGCCGATGGAGGGGTGGGTGAAGTGTTAAAGTCCACAAAACACTGAGGTAAACAGACCTCTGAAAAAGATGTGAGAAACGTCTATGAACAAAATAACAATCGTTAAGTAAATCATCCAAACCCTGCATGTGAACAGCAAAGCAAACACATTATTAATCTGTGAATTTTATGAACATTATCTATAACATTGCAGATAACCCAGGTAGGATGAACACAAAGTATTCTCACCTCACACTGCACCATAGACATTATAAACACCTCTGCACACAAACAGTACAAAGTGACAGTATATTCTCACAAACATCATTCACTTTGCTAATTGTAACTGTGCATGTAAATCCAACTGTTAGCATTCGGGTTTAACCTGAGAAAACCTCCTGCTTGAGAAAACTGTATCATTTAGCATTGTAGCATCTTTAATGTGACTTTCTCCTTTAAAATAAAAGCTTCACTCACTATGTTCATTCCTTCTTTAAACCAGTAGAAAGAGTTCGCACCTTTAAAACCCTTCACACACTTGGCCTCAACTTCCTCATTAACACCAACCTGTACTAGCGTCTGTCTGCTACCAACCAATCACGAGGCGTGACGCAATTCAATTTATAGCCAATCACGACGCACGTATGCGCAGAGCGGGACGTTACAAGCGCAGACCCGGAAGTTTGCGCAGTTTAACAACAATTACAAAGAGGCTGAATTCGCTGAATACGGCGCAGAGCTGCTCTTCACTGCGGTAGATCACAGAGGCACGTCGAGTTATCGCTTGTGAAACCAGCCGCACAATCGTGGGTAAGTTTATTTCAATTAACGAGAGCTCATCTGAGGCGAGAGGCTTTCTTTTTGTTTCTCTTCCCTTTTAAACCATTGGCTCCAGACAGCGCCATGTTGGGTTCATCCAGTAAATAACTTCTTCTGGTGACGAGCGCACTGATTGTTGTATGCGAGCTAAAGTTTGTTTGTGGTAATTAGAACATTTAAAGATTTATTATTTTGAGACCTAGCAGTCAGTAATGACAGTAGTGACGTTAGCTTTAGCACGTACAATAGTATGAATATAACTTTGGTGTTGATAATCCAAGATGATCCTGTTATAACACTTCAAATCACTCTGGTTAAGTGTTTAAATGTTAGACTCATCACTCGTGTCCATGACATCTTATAGTTACCACACTAACCTGAGTTATTCCCCTCCTCTCAGCTCCAGCTCCTGTAAAACATGGAGGAGCTTTACACTTTAGAGAAAGAGGTAGGACGAGGCAGCTATGGCGTGGTCTTTGAGGGACACATGGTCAAAACAGGACAGAAGGTGGCCATTAAGAGGCTGCCCTGCAGCAACCCGGAGTGCATCGAACTCTACCTGCAAGAGCTGTGGGCCATGAGAGCCACAGCCAAGAACCACGCCAACGTCATTGCACTCCACAGCTGCCTCCTGCAGACAGGCCCGAGGAGCTTGAAGCCCCTGAAACCAGGGAAACTGCCCCTACGTCTAGTTGAGACGGTGCTGAAGGGCAGTGTGGTTGGAGCCACACGAAGTCAGGAAAGGAGTCATGCCCAGTGGACAGCCATGAAGAGGAGTAATTCTCTCTCCAGGCTTCAGGACAGGACCAACACTGTCCAGGTCAGGGCTAAGCTCCAGGACACAACAAAATCAAATGCATCTGATGCTACAACCCCACAACGACCTCAAAACAGAGCCAGAAAGAGACGGGCCCAGAGCGAGGGGGAGCAGCCGGGACCCCTGCGCTGCTTGGCGCTGTGGCTGGTGATGGAGTACTGCGACGGGGGCGATTTGAATCAATACCTGCTCTCCAGGCCTCCAGATGCCCAGCGTAACCACAGTGTGGTGCGACAGCTTTGCAGAGCTGTGGATTTCCTGCATAGCCTTGGCATCACCCATCGAGACCTGAAGCCCGACAATGTGCTGGTCTGTGTCACACCAAAAGGCCCTGTTGTCAAGGTAGGCAGACGCTGTCATGTGACATGTTTTACATCGGATTAGGTAATGTGGAGGCATTGGAACAAGCATGTCTGTTAATTCAATCTTATTTAGCTCTTTTCTATCAAAGTCTAAATATTGTAGGTCATGTTGGCTGGGCTATTCATTGAAATATTTTTACGCAGCACATGCCTGTAATCGGGGAAAACACCAGGCCCATTTCAGGTTTGTTCACAAAACAGAATGCCTTTCAGGTTCAGGTCGTGCTCGTCTAATCTTCTGTCATGCTCAGTCTGGTTCGGACAGAAAATTGCTTCCTGAACCAGGCGATGGAACCTACACAACATCGACTAATTGCCACCTTTGCAGAGCTGTCATTACTTAACTAATTTAACAAAGCACATTTTTCATTCAACAATCAACACAATGAGACATGTTAATCAAAAGTTTGTTTTGCTAATTAAAGTTAGAGCAAGATGTGTTATTGTGAATATCACAAATCACACCCGTTTTATTGTCTTCCAGCTGCATGTGTCATGTGATTAATTCGGGTGCAATCTGGCCTGTCATCAGATTTATTTAGCTCAAGCTGCTCAGATACAGACACGTTGACATTAGCATTGGTACATTTTGGTTTAAACAACATTATGTATAGATTATAAATCAAACCATGAATTTGGAGAATTGTTACAACCTCACTATTTACATATTGTCTGACAAACTGATTAATAAATGTTTTAGAATTTAAATCATAAAATTAAAAAAACGGAAACCATAATGTTGTTTGTTTTATCTTAATATCTTAATGTTATTGTGAGTAAAGGCCTGAAATTGATAAAGAATATTTTCCCCATATCTCTATAAAAATGAACTTCATCTGTGTGTCAATACACATTTCCCTGTCCAACCTCTAGGTGGCAGACTTTGGTCTGAGCAAGGTGAGGGAAGGTCTGGAAGGGGATCAGACCAGGCAGCACTTCTCGTCCACCTGTGGCTCCGACTTTTACATGGCTCCAGAGGTGTGGGGTGGACAGACCTACACGGGCCAGGCGGACATCTTCTCGCTGGGTGTGATGTTCTGGGCGGTTCTGGAAAGAATCACCTTCCTGCAAGAAGGGACCACACAGGAACAGCTGGGTAAGAAAATAAATCAACAGAGGATATCATTGAGGAAGAATACCAGCAAACCAACATTCCCCCAACAACTAGACCAGGATAGTTAAGATGAGCAGGAAAATGTCTCAGACTTCTGGACCCCACCGTAGTCATAAATGAATAAATAAATGAAAATCCAGAATGAGTCAGTTAACATTTAGGGAAACATATGAGCATAGAGATGTCGTGTAATATGCTGCTCACCAGTCAGAGGGCTCTCAGAAGGGTTGTGTGTGTGGCCAGGCAGCTTGATGACGCATCGCACTGAATCGAGTTTGACTTAATTAACTGGCACATATTAAAAATGTCACATGCTATACATCATACACTCATCAGCCATGGACGGAACAATCTTGGATCTAAATGGCAAAGATATGAAGGATAATTTATGCATCGTAAGTTTTGATACAGATTTTAGTATCTCTGTTCCTTATAATAAAATCTGACACTACGTGATTAAGCTTTCTTTACACCTAAAAGTGTTGTTTTTGGCAGCACGTGCGAAACCAGCTTGTTCAGAATAATCCATTATTGAGTATCTTTATATATTTATTTTATCATATTTCCTCTGGTTCCTAATCAAGTTGCATTGATAACATCAACCTACATTAATGACGATCAATCACATTTTCATGATAATGCAAAGATAAGTCGTGGTGTCAATACATTTTCTGTCTTTTTCTAGATTAAGCTTGTCATCACATAGAACAGGTCTGTGTAGGGAAATGAACCCATAAACACGAGCGGGCAGATGCTTTCCAGGAGAGCTTTGGGATTTTAATCTATTTGTTTAATGTCCTATTTTTCCTTCCGTGTCAGAATCCCAAGCGGCCATAAGATGAGGAAGCGTCTTAATGTTCAGGAGTACAGGGCCCTGTCCTGCACTCCACTATCTGATAGTAATGAAACGGCTGTAATACAGACGTCTCCTTTTATTCACAAAAATGACAATGATCAGAGGCGACCTGGCATCAGGGGGATATGAACCATTATCCTAAAGATTAGTGTGTGAGAAGCTCTGTGAGTCATTGATGCTCCCATTAGGCTGAATGAAAATGGTTATTTTTTTGACTGGGGGTGTTTCATTGGATTGAAAAAAACAAAAACAAAATGGAATTTAGCAGCACCGATCACAATCCTATTTGTCAGTGAGAAAATGAGGAGAGGCAGCTGGAGGCTTTTCACAGACAAATAAAATGGTCTATTATTTTTACTTTATCCCCTCTCAAGACCCATACACCCACACAGTTTGACCAAGCAGGGGAGCGGGGGAGAATACCGTAAGGGAGGGAGACACGCTCTCTCCTGTTTGTCCTCTAGATCTGGAAGTCTGGAGCTTTCTGTTTTTTTTTGTTTTTTTTTGCTGAGGTAGTTGAGGGAATCGTGACTCCCTTAGCAGGACAGACCTGGACTTAACTATAGACTTCAGCCGCGGTGTTTGAATCAAGCTTTACTGATGAGAATCGACAGAAAGAGACCACTTATATGACAGATGTGTTTCTATCAGTTTTTCATTAAAGTTAATTTATACTCCTTTAGAACAACAAGAGAGAGCCTCAAAGGACCTTGAGTTTAATTTGAATTGATGCATTTTTAACTGCTTTTATAGATAATCCTTGTTAACCATCTTTTATAGGATTTTTTGTTCTTCATTAATCTACAAATGTTTTTCAATTCATCATGTCGTCCAGAAAATGTCAAATAAAGACAAATGACCAATTGGGGTTGTTGGGCACAAAGTTGTAACTTCCTAATTATTCTGGTAAGCAGCCAAGAAATCAAAGGTAAGAGAGGACGAAGAGGGAGCTCATCTTGGTACTTCAAGTATCATCAGTCAGATAGATTTCAAACGAGTGGGAGGGTGAGTTACACTGACCTTATGGTTGATAATTCTATAAATATGTCGGAACAATGTTTAAACAGGAAATCAACACATTTTATTATGATAGGAAATGATACTGACTGGAGTTTTCATGCTGATTGGGAAATGTACTGTAGGCGTGAATGTGGGTATGAATGGTTTACGGTCTTTCCCTGTAATGGACTCCGCCCCCCTCCCGCAATGCTAAAAAAAGGATAAGCAGTAGATATAATGGATGGATGGAAATGATACTTAAGGAGTTGTGTTGTCTCACATCAGCCCATTCAAAACCACCACAGTTATTTATAGTTTCCTGACAGGGTGATGGAGATGTTTCACCAGCTTCTACAGTTAGATGTTTTCACTTCTGTGAGCAGCTCCTCCAGTTCTTATTCTGACTGTGTGTATTTCATATCACTTTTCCAGTGTAAACACATTCTCAATACCTTCTTAGATTAGTGGAAGTAATGAGGAGTAGTATGAGGACAGTCCTGAGTAGGCAATATAAGTGTGTGGGTATGCTATGGGTCTGTCGGGGCTTTAGCAGTGCTCAGTCAGTGGTACTTAACAAGTGCAGTGTGTATCATTGAGGCTTAATAAATGTGCGAGATACATTTCTGTGCAGATTGTGGTTGTGCTTGAGAATAAGCAAAACAAGCAAGTACACAGTGATGACTCCATCCTCCATTTTGCTTCTGGTATTTTAATCGTTAAAGGAGTTTTGTATTAACTATTGTAGCATGAAGCAGAGTCTCAGTGTGACTGCTGCATCTCTCTGAGTTATATCTGGGGAAGGATGGATTTGACAAACAAATATGAATGAGTTCCTTTAACAGTCAGTTGGCTGCAGCTGATCACAAAACAAAGCACTGTTCCTTATTGTTGCAACAACGACAAGACAAGACCCTTTACTTTCCAAATGTTGTGTTCTGAAAACATATCTGGTCATTTTGGCTCCTTTATTAAAGATTTAAGTCATAGACAGATATAAAACTACTTGATATGTTTAGCCTCTCGTAGCGTTACGGTTTCAGACTAATTCTCTTCCACATTCTGCTTGGCTCTAGTTTTGAGCACGTTGTTAACTTGTGATTAGGCAAGTGTCCCTCCACCCCCCTGCAGTCTGCCTTGTTGCTTTCAGCCTGATGACTTAACCGCATCGTCATTTGTATTTTTTTTTTTCTCCTCTTAGGCGCCTACGTGTGTAAGGGTCGCTCTGGCTGGTTGATGCCACTGGGGGAAGCCTTGTGGGAGAACGCCGACCTCCAGCTGTGTATCCCAATGAAGTTTAAGAGAGCGCCCCCGCTGCCACCCCCTCCCGGTCCATCTACGTGCACTCTGCTTTTAGACATGCTCGCCTCAAACCCGGATGCCCGGCCCCCGGCAGACCAGCTGGAGGCCAGAGTGCGATCCGCTCTCAAAGAGGACTCCCACTGACACAAAGTGCGCTTAAGCGACCATTATGGCTCTCACCACTGTAGCCACTGAACAGAAATATTGACTGTGCGCCCCCTGACCACAGAGCTTCCTATGTGTGTCAACAGGAACCACTTTGCTGCCTCTGGGAAATGGGGATAACAAATATGTATGATTATATGGAATTGAAGGTGCTATTTCTGTCACTGAAACAGCAGCACAGTTGATAAACTCAGTAGAAAAACCAGAAAAAGGGAAAATGGGGTTGAAATAGAAGTGGTCCATCTGACCCTTGAGGAAATCAGTCCATTGGCCTTGGACCTCTGGGATGCACTGTAGACCAAACATGCAATGATACTCAAGCAAGTCTTTTATAGAAATCCAGAGGGACGCACTGAGTTTCCTGTAAGCACCGTGCTGTTTGGGCACATAGACGTTTGACAGAGAAAATAGATTTTAGTGAGTACGGAGCTAAAATGCATAAAATGGTTTGTTGTTATTGTTTGTAAACAGATCAGTGTTTGACTGACTCCACATTATTTCTTCTGTATTTAAGGCACTGAGTTTGACTTTGATTTTTTGGATATTGATGTTCTAATTTGTTTCGTTTGTATTCACCATCCTGGCCCAGGTATTTCCAACTCACACTGATGTAGCATGGATTGAACAGTCCGCTGGGTTTCAAGATGTAAATACGTAGAGAGCAAACAAATAAAACATTGAAACAGGAGTCCGTCCATTGTAATGCAAGAATGGAGTCCTGTAATAAAACTGCATTCGTTACACAACTTATGTGAGTCTTTTTTGAGGGTTATGTGTCAGCAATAGTTCTGTTGTATGTAAATAAGGTGCACACAAACAATACCACCTCATGATAAAATGAACTTCATCTCAACACGATCACTAACAATAGCTGCAAATATAGTTTTAAGATAGAATGTTGTTTGAGAATTGTGGTATTTAGTGCAGGGCTTTAATGTTGCATTAAATCATACATTATATTTCTGCTTTCTGTAATTTGCTTTTATTGGTGTAAGAATGCATTTTAGGAGATTATTGTGTTTGATACATTTTGCTTCATGCTAGGGCTGAGCGATAACGCCAAATATTATTTAAAGTTTATATCAGCTGATATCAATAATTGCCACAATAAATGTCACATTATTTCTTTTTAGTTTCCTGGGTGAAGGTTGTGGTTTCTTAACACTTCTGTATTAGTGGAGAATGACATTTAAACATCTAACAATTATATGTTTTACCTCCTCACTGTATCTTCGCAATGCATCAGCATTATATCAGTATAATTTTATCTCCCAGCCTTATTCATTAAGTTAAGTATGGATTATTTAGGGGGGGGGAAATTTTCTCTCTATTTCACCAGTTTTTCTTTGGGGCAGTAACATTTTCTGCTGCTGCTTTTTAAAAGTAGTTGACTCCAACTGTGTGACTGAGCATTTCTGGGACATGTGAAAAAGGTGTGATCAGCACAAGAATTATCAATGACAGTTTCTAATATACCATCCTAATGAACAGGAAATTAAAGCAGGCAGGAGGGTTGTTGCTGATCAAATCAAAAACATTTATTAGTCGCCATCAATCGCAGTCTCCCATCGTCCATATGTTTCTGCGACAGATGAAAAAGAGAAAACAAATGTCTGAGGATAAAAAGCGAACGCATACCCAACGATGTATGAGCCTGGATGGACATGGATGTAAACTGTATACTGGGTGGTTGGAGGAGACACACAACTATGAGGTGGTAATTCTACTCAAATGTAATTTAAATCAAATAAATAAATGAATGAGAGTAATGTGTTTGTGATTCATGTTTTCCAGGCTTGAGAGGGATTTGACAGGAACCACTCACCTGCTCCATCACTCTGTGATAAGGCTGCTGAGCTCAGTGTCAATGATGTAGAGATTTAAACCGATGAGCCTGGCTTCCTCTCTGCCCCTCTGGCTCAGTGAGGTGGTCTCTGACTGATCTGTGTTAAGCTGCAGTGCAATGAGAGACCCCGCCACACACACACACTCTCTCTCTCTCTGCTGGCCAGACTTCTGCTTCCCAAGTCCTTTTACTGAACAGGAGTGGAGGGTTCTTTTTAAGTTTGAATGTGTTCAGTGTATAAAGGTTTTCATACACATTGCTGACTCGTGGAACATTTGTCCTGTTGCAAAGAAGTGATTGTTGACGTTAACAAAGCCACATGTGCTCTCATCTGTGACGAGAACGGTGGCGCCAATGGCGGACCTGACAATTCTGGTGTTCTCTGGCAAATGTCAATCAAGCTGCACGGTGCTGGGCTGTGAGCTCAGGTCCCACCTCATGCCGTCCTCACGGAGTCTGTGTCTGACAGTTTGGTCAGAAACATGCACACCTGTAGCCTGGTGGAGCTCATTTTGTAGGACTCTGCCAGTGCTCCTCCTCCTCCTCCTTCTCCTCCTTGCACAAAGATGCAGACACCGGACCTGCTGCTGGGTTGATACCCTTCTACAGCCCTGTCCAGCTCTCCTTGTGTAACAGCCGGTCTCCCGGTATGTCCTCCATGATCTTAAGACTGTGCTGGGAGACACAGCAAACCTTCCTGTGACCGCACGTATGGATGTGCCTTCCTGGAGGAGCTGGACCACCTGATCGGGCTGCAGATACCGCCTCATGCTCACAGTAGTGACAAGGACACTAGCAGGACATAAAACTAAAGAAGAATTAGTCAGGAAGGACAAAGAGAGAGCATCTGTCTGTGGCCAGCACATGTAAAACCAACCCTTTTTTGGGGGTTGACTTGATTTTGCTTCTCCATTGCACCTGTTGTCACTTTCATTTGCACTGAAGCAGGTGAAACTAATTCATCATCACTTGTGCTTCCTGGACACGTTGATATCCCTGAAGTTTAACTGACGATTAAGTGTTCCCTTTACTTTATTTATCAGTTTATACATATTAGGTGTTGATGCCCGTTAACCTGACTTTAACTTGGTTTTACTTTTTAATTATTATTGTGTAAAACGTGGTATTGATAGATGTTCGTGATTTAATCTGATTTTAACATTTGGATTTACTTTTAGTCTTCATGGGTTTATTTATGACACATTGTAAGGTGTCTAGAAAGGCAACAAAAAGTCTTATTCTTATTATAGCCCTAGAGTTGTCAAACTACACATTGTATACCTTGAGTGATGTGAAAAAAACCTCATTATTATGGGCCTTTAATGAGCCATTATATTGTATATAAGGATTAACGAGGCATTTCATAGAGTGGGTGTGGAAGTGAAATACATCAGCAGTCCCAGACCCTTTTCCACTCACTTTACGCTGGTAATTGTAGTAAACAAGTTCTGTAACCTTCACTTCAGCAGAGTTTAACTGAACCTGCTCATGTTGCAGTGAAGATTAGCCCAAAGTCTGCCTCCTCCTACAGCGCCAATCAGCTCAGCACAGACTCAGCGGGTCTGAGCGGGAGGAAAGTCCTTTCAGATTTCACAGCTGATTGCAGCAGTGAGCAAGCGTGGAGAGCAAGCCCCCCCCCCACCCAAAAAAAAGCCCTTATCCCTCACTGCGTCAGGACTGCAACAGCAAACACACACACACACAGCAGAGCGCAGTCACGACACAGTGGCCGCATCCGGGAAATTACGCATGGCTGTTCAGCTTCAGTCGCCCCAGTCGGAATCTCTATGAGACATAGGTCGCCGCATGAGCCTCAGGAGCTTTATTGCGAGCTATTTTTCAAATGACAAACACTTTTCAGTAACAGTGCGGCTGAACGCAGCATTCAGTCAGTGTTCACTAGACAGGTAAGGGATGGAAATGTAATTGGAAAGGCTGTATCAAATGAGGCAGTGAAACACTCTCATAGGGCAATCATCAGGGGCACACACCCTTGACACTGGGGAACACATTATAGGCACCACTCTTACGACGTGACCTTTCTTTGGAAGCTAAAACCTTTTTTTTCATTTAGGTCTCATTATTATTAAAATGTCTTCGAGACAACGAGAACTTCTCCCATGAAGAAGGACACAAAACTGTAACGGAAATATACTTTATTCTCTGAGAGCAAAAACAAAAGAGGCGGTCAAGTGATGTGTTCGACATCTGGAATTAACCAGAATACATGTAGTCCAAGAACACATGAAAGTAAAAGCAAGAAACAGGATTAACTGTGGAGCTTTAGAAAGCTATTTATGTTATATTAAATTTCCTGCCCTATAAATCAAAATTGTGCAATTACACAACGGCTGCCCAGTGAGGACGATTCCCACTGTTCATTCATCCACTGCCAACCGTTAATGAACGCTTGACTCATAATGGGTTTTCCATTTAGTTGCAACATAAACATGATTAACTCAAACTGTGATGCTTAACAGATCTCTCATCCTAAATCAACACCGAAACGTAACATTCCAGTGGTAGTAATAAAATGCCTCGGCAGCCTCTTTGTCGCTTCTCGTCAAAGCGACTCGACGCTGCTCGCTGAAACTGAGGTCATACATTCGACAGTGGCGGCGTTCATTTCAATGTGTAAAGCTGTCTGCTTATTTTGGTGCATGTTTAGAAAAGAAACAGCTAAAATGTAACATTTAAGATGTAAAATGTCCACATCCACCTGATGGAATCTCAACCTGAACTCAAAACCTCATTCCTAAGATGCTCATATAACTTTCTTTTACTCCTGATGTCGTCACACTGTCTCCTTATCTAAATAACACAGAAGAAGTGTAACAGTGTTCTGGAGTGTGTCCCAGATAAAAAGCAGATGCCTGGGCTGAGAGGGAAAAAAAAACACCCAACCACTATCTGCTCTGACGCTTGGAAAACAGAGAACTAAAAATACCACAGGAGGAATATTGTCCTGATAAATAACACAATTTGTGCGTGTATGTGTCTTATTGTCTGCACTTGTCCAGCTTCAGTCCATTCCAGGTCCATACAGGTCCTTCACCATGTACGGTCCCTCCAGCTTGTAGCCCATCTTCCTGTAGTAGTTCCTTGTTCCTACGCCTGCAGAACAAACCATGGACAGAGGACAACAACTTAGTGTATAAGCATCACAGAAATGGTGAATGAAAAATGACCCACCTTTCAGAGGCCAATGCTTAGGTAGAGTCGACTGTTTTGGATCTGTGGGGGGGTCCCCCGCCACCAGCGAGTGCTCATGAGTGGGAATCTGGAGAGCTGTGCTCATTTATAATTCAATTTTGAGTCTAAACCCCTAAACCACACACACACACACACACACACACACACACACACACACACACACACACACACACACACACACACACACACACACACACACACACACACACNCACACACACACACACACACACTGTACGCTAGTCTTGGTCATCAAAAAAACTCTGGAGGCAAGAAGTTTCTACTTCATTTGAAATTTCTGTCAAAAAACTGTGTGTACTGCTACTGGAGTCATTGCTCATAGCTAGAACAACCTAGATAACTTTGCAAATGGTATTCTGTATGTGTGTGTTTGAGTGTGTGTGGGTGTGTGTGGGTGGGTGTGTGTGGGTGTGTGGGTGTCTTAGCCCTGCATCCCAGCTCTCTCAAGGAATTTATTTTAAATTTCCAGGCAGATAATTCACCCAACACTTAGGGTTACACTAACTCACTCACAATACAGATATGCTATTCATTATATAATTCACTATATTAACCATCCATAATTTTACCATATAACTGTTAATAATGATGCAAAATGAAAGTAGTTGAGTGAAATGTCCTTTTATTACTATATTGAATAAGTAGTGATGTTAAAAGACTAGTTCTGCAAATGGTCTGAATGAATCCCACTGAATTAGTTATAAATTGAAGCTAACTTTTGAACCTGATATGGATATATATACAAATGTTTGAAAATGCATCTAGAATATTCAACACATCAAAAGAAGGCATGATGAATAAAAAAATCATAGAGCTGCTCGGCCTGTATTGCATATTCTAGAATGTAAATGTTTTAACCTGCAGTGTCAAAGTACATCTGTGTGACATAATACTTATGTATTAAAGTCATGTATGGGCTAAGAACTGCAAATGTGCGTGTTCTGAGGTCTCTGGGAGGGATGAATGATGCCCTGATGTGCTGTTGTGTTTCTTACCGGAGATGACGGCCAGTTTTCCAGAGCCATGTTCATCTCTGGCAATTCTTTCTGCCTCC